TACGAACATTGATCTAAAAAATCCTTAGCAAAACACTAGCAAATCAAATTCAACAGAATATTGAAAGGGTTATGCACCATGACCACATGGGATTTATTCCTGGAATGCAAAGATATCTGGTTCAGTATAACAAAATCAATCAGCATAATACACCACATTAATAGAATGAAGGGGAAAACCACATGATCATCTCAACTTATACAGAAAAAGCATTTGACAAAATTCACACCTTTTCATGGTTAAAACACTTTTAAAAAACTAGGAATAGAAGGAAACTAACTCAACAAAATAAATCTATACATGAAGAATCCACAGAAAAGACTGCTCTTTGGGAAAGGACTGAAAGCTTTTCCTATACTATTGGAAACAAGGCAAGGATGCCCCTTTTACCACTTCTACTCTGAATAGTACTGGAAGTTCTAGTCACAGCTATTACATAAGAAAAAGAAATGAAAGACATCCAAATTGGAAAAGAAATAAAATTATGTTTGTAGATGGTGCAATCTTCTGTATGTAAATATGTAAAAAACCTTAAGATTCCACACATGAAAAACTGTTAGAACAAATAAATGAATTCAGAAAAGTAGCAGGATACAAAGCCAACACTCAGAAATTAGTTGCATTTCTATATATTAACAATAAACAATTTGAAAAGAATTGCAAAAACAATTCCAATTATAATAGCATGAAAAGGAATAAAATACTTAGGAATTAACCAAGGAGGTAAAAGACTTGACAATGAAAACGGTAAAATATTGCTGACAGAAATTAAAGAATACATCAATAAATGGAAATGCATCCTCTGTTCATGGATTAGAAGACTTGATATTGTTAAAGTGTTATTACTACCCCAAACAAGCTACAGATGAAATATAATCCCTATCAAATTCTCACTGACATTTTTGTAGAAAACCCATTCTAAAAATGTTTACAGAATTTCAAGGGACCTTGAATAGCCAGAACAATCTTGAAAAGAAGAATAAAACTGGAGGACTCACACTTCCTGATTTCAAACTCACTACGATGCTACAGTATTCAAAACTGTGCACTATTTGGAGAAGACAAGTAATGACTGGACAGCATCTCACTATGCTGATAGACAGTGACTGCAGTGGGGTTGGACGGGGACTTGATAATATGGATGAATGTTAAAACCACAGCGTTGCTCATGTGAAACCTTCATAAGATTGTATATCAAAAATAACATAATTAAAAAAAACAAAAAACAAAAAAAGTGTGTTATTGGCATAAAGACAGACATATAGACCAATAGGATAGAATAAAGAGCCCAGGAACAAACTCTTGAATTTATGGTCAACTGATTTTTTATGAGGGCACCAAGACCATTCAATGGGGAAAAGACAGTCTCTTCAACAAACGGTGCTTGGAAAGCTGAATGTCCACATGCAAAAGAATGGAAGTGGGCCCTTACCTAACAGCATAAAATAAAAACTAACTCAGAGTGGATCAAAGACCTAAATCTAAGACCTAAAATAAAACTTTCAAAGAAAACTTCATGTAAAAGCTTCACAATATTGGATTTGTTAAAGATTTCTTGGAAGTGACACTGTATTAGACTACATGAAACCATCAACAGAGTAGAAAGGTATTCCACAAAATGGAAAAAAACATTTGCAAATCATATAGCTGATTAATATCTGGATTAATATACAGAGTATATCAAGAACTCCCATAACTCAACAACACAAAAAACAAACAACCCAATCAAAAATGGACAAAGGACTTGAACAGGTATTTCTCCAAAGAAGATATACAAATGTCCAATAAGCATATGAGAAGATGCTCAACATCATTGATCATTAGGGAAATGTGAATTGACACTACAATGAGATAAGACCTCACATCCATTAAGGTGGCTACTATCAAAAAACAAAATAACAAGTGTAGAAAAATTAAATAATGTATGTAGAACAAAATAACACACGTAGAAAAACTGGAACACTTGTACACTGTTAGTGGGAAATGTAAAATGATACAACCACTGTGGAAAACAGTATGGAGCCTCCTCAAAAAAATTAAAAATAGTACATATGACCCAGTGATTCTACTTCTGGACCCAAACCCCAAAGCACTGAAAGCAAGGCCTCAAAGAGATATTTATATATCTATGGTTAGGGCAGCATCATTCACAACAGATAAAATGTGGAAGAAAACCAAGTGTCCATCAACAAATGGATGGATAAGCAAAATGTGGTACATACACATGGAATATTATTCAGCCTTAAAAAAGACTTCCTTAAAAAATGAAGGAAATTCTACAATACACTACAACATGCATGAAACTTGAGGAAATTATGCTAAAATAAGGCGGTCACAAAAATAGAATACTATGTGATTTTTCTTGTGTGAGATACAACAGTCAAATTCACAGACAGAAGGTAGAATGGGGGCTGCCAGGGACAGGGTGGGAGCGAGGGATGAGAAGTTCATGTTTAATGGAAATAGCTTTAGTTTTACTTGATTAAAAATGTTAAGGAGATAGGTCGTGGTGATGGTTGCACATTATGAATGCATTTAATACCATTGAATCATGCCCTTAAAAATGATTAAGGTGGTAAATTGTATGTTATGCATATTTTACCACAATTTTTAAAAAATTGAAAGAAAAATACAGACCATCCAAATGAAATAAAAGGAAAGGAAGAAAGGAAGAAAAGGAAAAATCCTGTGGCAGTTCCCTAACCGTTTGTTTGTTAACGTGGCAGCAGGGTGCAGCAAAGGAGCAGCTGCTTTGGGTCAGAGAGGTCTGGGCTGAGATCCTGTAACCCAGCTCCCCACTATTACCAGCTCGCTTCTTCAGCACGAACTGACCAGAGAGAATTCATTTGTTTTAGGCTCCTCAGATACTCTACTGCCTTGAGCAAGTTGCTTATCTCTGAGTCTCAATCCCATCTACACCAGAGGGGAAATAACATCGATATCCCGGACTTGCTATGAGAAATAAAAAGGGAGTATGGCTGCAGAGTAAGGAACCAGGAATGCCAATTCTCTTTCCCTTTAAAGGAAAGTCTATTAGGGTGCCCTATGGGAGCCTGTCGTACAAATTCAGTATCAGCACAGAGACGGGCATAATGGCTAGGGTTCTCTGGGGCTACTTTTTGTAAGAAATACAGAGAGATTCAAAAACTAAATCTATTAAGCTGGCCTACAGCTTCAGACAGGACATTCACTGGTGCACATTAAAAAAAAAAAAAGAGGAAGAAGGAGTTACACAGGGCACCTCCGCTCTCATTACCCAATCTTACCCAACTGAAACCCTGCTTCATAGGAGGTTTAGCCACGGGCCCCGAGCGCACGGAGCATCCTGAATCGCAAACGCCAGTTTGCCACGTCACAGAACCTTTATGAATCTCGGTTGCAGTGAGAGTATCTCTTATTTATGAAGTGACTATTTCAAGAGAATTTTCACAATAGCTGGCATTATTAGTCCTTAGGCCAACTCTCCAAATTGGGGGCAGAAGAAATTAACATGCAATATTAATATTTGTTTTGCATTTAAAGGGAAGATTGCTTGCTCTTTTCAGGGGATATTGAGCAATTTCTGGGGTGTAGGGCTAGTAGATGATTCCCGGAGGTGGGTCATCTCTGTTACTGCTCTTGTCACCGAAAGAGCGATGGGCAAGTGCCCCGCAGTGAACAAGTGCGCAGCAGCCACCACGGGATGCGCAGTGTCAACCACTCACTCCCCCAGGAGGCAGGCAAGCACGGGGGCGTGCCGGGACGGCGCCCCACCTCTACGAGAGTCACGCGGGGTGGCGGGGCAAGTGAGAGAAGCGCCCATTCTCTGATGGGGGACAGGGCAGAGCTCCGCACGACCCCACAGCCACTGTGAACACGGCCGACAGAAAGCAGCAGCATTCTGGCCCTGCTCTTGGGGGCGAGGACATCTGCCCTTTCGTCCTTTGACCCAAATACTCACGCTTTCAAGTCACTTGGTCAAGGGGCACGAGGGGGCCTTGGTGGGAACTGTATTCGGCAGCGTGATCCTTCCTGTCCCTTCCCCTGTGGAAGGACCCTCGGTGCATCGTCACGTGGCCCCGCCGTGGTCCCCCCCAAAATGAAGAGGACAGCAAGGACCACCGTTGCTGGAAGGGTGCTACTTGGTGAAACTACGGCCACAGTGTGACTGCAGATAATGCGACTTGTTGCCTGAGATTCGGGGCTATGGGACGCTAGAATGCCTTACAGAGAAGATGATTTAGGGTCATCCTCAGCTGATTTTAAAGCAGCAAGTCGGGAGATGGTTGCGGGGGATGGTTTGTGGATCCATCTGTCCTGCTGGCAGTGAGGTCACAGGGCTGACCATGCTAACCAAACCCTCAGAAGATCGAAATACCAAACAAAACACAAATCTATTTTTTGGTAACAGGTACATAATAAACCTTTCCAATGACTTCCAACTTGTTTCCTCAATCCTGCCCATTATTAAGGTAGCTGGGAGACCAAATTCATAATCAGAATGTTGTTTGTAGAACAAAGATCAGAACAGAAGAGCTGGGTAGCTGGAGGGGCATTTCCTCCGGGCACTGGGAAAGCCTTCCCGGGGGGTCGGAGCACTGCTGACCTCCGGGGAAGCGCCCCAGTCCTTTGGGGAGCGCTGGGTGCTCAGCCACAAGTTCTCACACCTCCTGCCCCCTTTTCTAAACAGATGCGCGTGGCCTGTCTCCCACACCTCGCCGCACTAGTCCCAGTTTTCTGCGATGGAGTGCAATACAGTCTCCTGGCTTCATTTCTTTTTTTTTTTTATTAAGGTATTATTGATATACAGTCTTATGAAGGTTTCACATGAAAAACAATGTGATTACCACATTCACCCATATTATCAAGTCCCCCCCACACCCCATTGCAGTCACTGTCCATCGTGTAGTAAGATTCCACCTGGCTTTGTTTTTTATTCCGTCATCTTCCCCCCGAGCCTACACCTGACTTAACTACCCCATCTCCTCAGGTCCTCATTACCAGCTCCCACAGAGGCTCACCCGGGCTTGATCTCGTCGATTCCGTGTTGGTTCTCATTACTTGCTCTGATGGGACGATTTTCAAGGTCTGGGGTCACTTTAATATGTGTGAGCCGAGCTCCCAGAGCCTGGAGGAGGAAGATGCCTCCTGTAACCTTGTTCGGCACTAATTACCCTGCTTTTCTGTGGAATGTGTTTGCAATGTGTTTTCCTTATTTTGCCCCCCTACAGTCCCTCCTTCTGAGAGGAAGAGGTGGACAAACCGCCCTGCCTTTCCCCCCAGGAAAGTAATATTTTCACCTCAGGTGGACCATCTGTTTCTCCCAACGCTGCTCTGTTTTTGACTTGAATTGAGTACATCACGTCCCAGGCATCTTGCCAGCTATAAGCTCCAGGAAATGGAGCAACTAAATGTGGTTTGCTTGTGATGTCAGGTCTTTTTTTTTTTTTTAATGCAATTTATGGAATTAGCCTAAAGGAAACTGTGTATCTATCGCTCTTCATAGGAGGGGCTCACAGAGCGGCAGGAAGCCCAGAGTAACAACCAAGGGGTACATGGATTTCCTAAGAACGGATCCCACTGAGGGGTGTGGGCAGATCCAGGAGTGGGCTTGATAAATGGAGGGGAAAACTGAGTACTTGCTTTGGACCCAAAACAGACCCCCTGGTAAGGGTTCTCAGCTGTGGGTATGGATCCAATTCACCTTGGAGTTCCCAGTTTTCATGCTTCGGTCCCATCAACAGCTCTGAGGTCCAGCCATGTCGAGAACACTTTCCCTAAACCACTAGGGATCAAAGACCTCTTCTCAAGCTCCCAAGCTATTAGGGAAGAAAATTACCCAGGGCAGAAAAAGTGTCAGAACATACAGGCTGCACAGCAAAAGAACTGATCAACAGAATGAAAATGCAATCTATAGAATGGGAACAAATATTTGTAAATCATATATTTGGTAGGGAGTAAGTACCTAAAATATATAAAGAACTCATACAACTCGATGGCAAAAAGACAAATAACCTGATTAAAAATGGGCAAAGCTCTATTTTTAGATTCTTAATGGAACTTAGTTCCTTAAAAATAGAACTACTGTATTATCCTATCCAGCAATTACACTCTGGGAATATATCCAAAGGAAACTAGAACACCTTATCAATGAGACACCTGCACCACCTGGTGATTCCTCACCATTTACATTAGCCAGACCTGAAAAAAACATTAAGTGTCTGTCAACAGATGAATGGATACAGAACGTGTGTGACACATACACAATGGAATATTATTCAGCCATAACAAAAAAGGACATCCTGCTACTTGTAATACCATGGATGGAACTTGAGGGTGAAGTGAAATAAGTCAGAATAAGACAAAAACTGTATGATCTCACTTACATGTGGAATCTTAAAAAAATTCATAGAAAAAGAGATTAGATTTGTGGTTACCAGAGGCAGAGGATGAAGTGTGGGAGAATTGGATAAAGGTGGTCAAAAGACACAAATTTCCACTTTGTGAATGAATGAATAAGTCCTGGGGATGTAACGCAAGCATGATGGCTATAACTAACGGTGCTGTATGGTATGTTTGGAAGTTGTTAAGAGAGTAGATCCTGAGAGCAGGCAAAGACATTTCTGTGTCTCTGTGAGATGATGGGTGTTAGCTAACTTTGTTGGGGTGACTGTTTCATGAGATATGCAAGTCATTATGCTCTACACCTTAAACTTATACAGTGCTATCTGTCAATTATATCTCAATAAAGCTGGAAAAAGTGTACAGGCTTAATCCAGAAGACAGTGAGCTGTGGGAGGCAATGGTAGCCTGAGAGTGGAATCAGGCCCCAGCTCCTGCTGACATGGCTCCCCAGACTCAGGTCGTAGCAGGAGGAAGTCGCAAAGAGGCAGGTCAGCCTTAGCGGGGCCTTGGTGGGCCTCTCAGACCAGTGCAAGGATCTCTCCTCTTTAGCTCAGAGACAGAGCATCCGCAAGGGTCACGCCACTTGAGTGGTTTTAAGAGATAAAGCAAATTAGTAGCTGCTTCCAGGAATCAGTGCGTAAGTATGGGAGCCATTCTATGGAGGTAAGAGAAGAAACGGGGCATGAGGTAGAAGAAAAGCACTCACGGCCTCATTCTGACATACGTGAGGGAAGACAGAACTACTCAGGAGGGATTGGGCATGGCTGTCAGGCAGGCAGCCCACACTGGCACAGTGTCACTGCAGGTTAAATAGAAATACTGCCCTGGTTGTTGGTTAATAGCTTGAGTGAGACTTCATGCCACCGACTGACATCACCGAGTGAAGACTGTGTAGGTGGGAGGGGACTTGGGACTGTGGGTGCACCTGGCCGCTGGGACATGAGCTGAGCAGGCCCAGGGGCTAGCTCCTGCACTCAGGAGGGCCCGGTGCTGGCAGGAGTTGGAGGACGGGCCTGGCTGGGGGCAGTGCTACAGGGGAAGCAAAGGCCCTCCTGGCACAGGCTGTATGAGGAGCGCCAGCCCCCAGCCCTCACAGCCACCCTCCCCTGCGGACCGTCTGCAGAGCCCTGCCTCCACTGGGGAGTTCTTGGAAGAGTTTGCAGTTTCCTCTGCAAAACTGTAGCTTAGACACAGGCAGCATTTAGTTTTGTGAGGCTTGTCAAACAAGGCTACCCCAGTAATTTCTGAAAGTCAATAATGACTTAGAAATTATTAGAATCATTCGACAACCATATTACTTTGGATTGCATGGTAAGTAGCATCATGACATATAGTTTAGTGTTGAGGACAGGAAGGAAATATTTTGGTTTTTTAATTTATATACTGATCTATTGAAATACATGACATTTATTTATAAAATGAATGTTGCCATGCAGGTTGTTCAGTATGTTGCACATCACCCTCAACGGGGCCGTGTGAAATGGGGAACAGTGATTCACTGGTGGGGCTTGAAAGGGCTTCACTGCATCTTGGCCCCCACCATCTGTCCCAAGTAGAGCTGACTTGGGTGAATATGGGTTTCATTTGATTCACAATTGAAATGTTACTTTCCATTTGTCGCTGAAGACGGGGCCCACCACCTGGTCAGGGATTCCCAGCCACCGCTGCTCCCGTACTTCCTGGCTTTTAGGAGGATGCGCTCTGCGGCGATGCGGCACGAACCATGCACAGAAATGGCCGCGTTAGGTTTTTGACTTTGCCAGGACAGTGAAGGCCAGAAGTTCATTCACTGAACGAGCAGTTACTGAGCACTGAAATCGCGCCAGGCAGAGCTCCAGATACCGACACAGAGCAGAATAAAAGGATGGGGATCCCTCCTCACGGAGCCAGCCAGGGGCGGCAGGGGGTGCTCATTCTCTGGAGGCTGCGGATGGATGGACGGACGGCGCCAAGGAGAAGGCTGCACTCGCCTTTCAGCAGCTCCCCTGCGCACTCTGCCCTCGGGGTTGGAGTCACCAAACCTCCAGGCTGACACGGCAGAACTACACAGCCTGTCTACTCTGAGACAGTTAGGCTGCCGTGTGAGTGGGGGACAGGAAAGGGTCCCTGCCCCAAGTTTATGGCTCCTTGTCATGACGTAGTATCTAAAATTCTGCCATTCCTGAAGCATTTTCCAACAAGCGTTCCTTGGAATCTAGTCCCTCAAGATGCTCACTTTAGAAAAAGGTTGAGTGGCTAAGCCAGTCTGGCAAACACTCAGCCCTTGGAGATTCACGATCAACTGGTATGTTAAATACAATCTGCATGCCAGACTCAGAGACTCCAAGAAGGAACTAGCAGTTACCAAAGGGGAGAGGTGTGGGAGGGCGGGTGGGGAGGGAGGGAGAAGGGGACCGAAGGGTATTGTTTAGTACACATGGTGTGGGGAATCATGGGGAGAACAGTGTAGCACAGAGAAGGCACATAGTGGATCTGTGGCATCTTACTACACTGATGGACAGTGACTGCATTGGGGTATGGGTGGGGACTTGATAATATGGGTAAATGTAGTAACCACATTATTTTTTCATGTGAAACTTTCATAAGAGTGTATATCGATCATACCTTAATTT